AAGAACAGTGAAGAGGGTAAGAGGATAGAAAGCTCTCCAACACTTTCTATGAGAGCAACATTACGCTGACCCAAAACCAAACAAGAACAATACAAAAAAAATTAATAAAACTATATATTGATATCTCTAAGGAAAATGGATGCAAAAAATCTTAGCAAATTGAATACAGCAAGAGAATCATCCACCGTAATCAAATAGGTTTAATCCCAGGGATTCAAGACTCAACATGCACTTCAATCAATGTTATTCACCAGATCAACAACAAAAAAAAAATCACATGATCATTTTATTAGGTGCCCAAAAGGCAATCAAGAGATTATGCAGAAAGAAAAAGAAAAATATTGGATGGTTTCACTTACAGGATTAATATAGGATCAGGAACCAAACAAGGATCAGGAAAAAAAAGACAAAACTAGCCGGCAACTATAAATCTGAGACATCAAGAAAAAGAGGTGGAGGGCGAGGGATTAAAATGGGTGGGCAGAGCACAAGAGACTATGGTGATGGTCATGGGTGACGTGGTGGTGGGAATTTTATGGGAACTATACCTAAAAGGAGAAATCAAACAATATCCACAAATGAACAATGATGTAAAACACATATATTTTTAAAAGATTCAACATTCACCTATTATAAAAAAAACTCAATAAAATGGGAATAAACAGAATTTATATAAACATAATAAAAGCCACGTACAATAAACCTACAGTCAACATCATACTTAAAGGTGAAAAACTGAGAGCAAAAAATTGATAAATCTTTAGCTAGAATAACTAGGAAAAGGGATATAAATCTTAAATAGTACAGAAACACTAATTTAATGAGGTATCTGCACTTCTATGTTCATTGCAGAACTATTTACAATAGCCAAGATATAGATATAACCTAAGTTCCCAATGATAGGTGAGCAGATTAAGATGTGGCATATATGCAATGGAATAATACTCAGTTGTAAAAAAGAGATATCTTGTCATCTGAGACAACATAGATGGAACTAGAGGGGATTATGCTGATTAAAATAAGTTAGAAGAATAACAAGTACCAGATGATTTCACTAGTGGAATATAAAGATAAAAGAAACAAAGCAAATGGACAAAACTAAACAAAGCTTAGAGGTATGACTACAGAACTGTTATCAGAGATGAAAAGTGAATGGCGGGTGGGGGAGGGGTACGAGGCAGGAATCAAACAGGGGAGGAAAGCAATGAACTAGGATGAAGGGTTCATGCTGGGCATGGCTTGTTAAAAAACATCTAAATGAAAGATAAATAAAACACAACTTATACCCCAAAGTAATTTCTGACCCACAAAAGCTACATGGAAGAATAATGACAGTATTGAACAAAGCTAATGTTTAATGTTTAGTAGCTTGCAGACTCTTTTCTAAGAGCTTTTCATATATTATTCCATTTAATCTTCACCATTGTATGAGACAGATACTATACATTTTACATTGAGGCAACTGAGGCCAATGTGATTTAGTAACCTACAGTTAATGTCTAGCACAGGCAAAGAACCTGATTCCTATTCTATGTAAGATTCCTCCTTTATAATTCATGATCTCAAATATATCTCATACTGCTCCAAAATGAAGATTATCTTATCAGGATTTGCTCTATTAATGAGCTAGTTCTTTTCACATATTTTTCAAAATAAAAGCGATAAATACATTAAAGGGAAACCTCTGTGTCTCTTATGTCCCAGATGGTATTGGTGAGTAGAATGGGATTAGGAAGAAGTAAATTAATATTAGTGCTGTGTGATTATATATGAAAATACTTGCCCCTCGCTCCCTTTATGGTTTGCGTCATAAGTAACCTTCCATATGAGGAATTAGCAAGTTGTTTTTCTTTTTTAGTTTCTGATTTTTCAATTATTTTGTTTTAATTAATGCCAGCATTATCTCATCCTTTCCTTCCATGAATGTATTATTTGCTATCAATATTTCCTTTTAATTGAAAAAAAATTTCAATTACATCATGGTATCAGAGAATGTTTTACATGTTTAAATATGTTCATAACTTGCCATCATTAACTAGGAATAGTCAACACTTGATTTCTTAAATATTTTATAATCCCACTATGTTTTACTTGCTGATCATGAATCAATAGTTGTGTCACATATAATTCATTAAATAACCCTGGTTATTATGCTACATTCTTAAAATGACTCTTTGTACTTTTGAAAATCATCCCACTTGAAATAATACTAATTGCAGGTTTGATTTTTGAAACTTCAGATTCTTCTACTGCTAGTGATTTGCATTATGTCCCCAAAGACCTCCTGACTTAATGCAAAGAATTTGTTAAAGCGCTGCCACAGAAATTTTTCTTTCTTTTTGCTCTGAGTTGTCATATCCCACTTTTCTTTAATTTCTTTTTGTGCCTTGAAGTGCTGAATACTTCATGTACAACAGATGAAAACCAACTAAACTATCCCCCTGCAAAGATTAGGTGCAGAACCCCTAAAGAGACTAGAGGCTAACATGATGTAATTCACTGTCAATTCTTTCCATTTCTCCTCCCTCCCAGAATCTTAAATTTTTTCAATTACAATTGACCAAAGAATCTCCCCAGGACCAAGATCTGTTTGCACATGATGAAGTTTTTATGCTTTTTGTTACTACCATTAAATAAACCTATTTTCCCATCAGGAGTGTGTAAACCAGCAAAAATGCACTCCCTTGTTCTTTTATGACTTTGTAATTACATGTCATGACATTCTTACTTAAAAATGTATTGGAAAAACATCATTCTATGAAATATATTATCATAGTTTCTATAAAACAGCAGTCTGGTCAATAGTAACTGAGGTGAACATTGGGGTTAATATAAACATACCACAATTTGGTGAAGATAGCCAATGCAATTTTTTTTTTTTTGGCCAATGGAATTCTCCCTTTTGAGGGGAAGAGAAATATTCTACAAAAAACAATAGTGAATTTATCAGTTCTAAGATCATATATAAAAAATGAGGTCTATAATCTCAATTAATCAGGCAACTCAGTTGGCACAAATAACAGAAGTCCATCCAAAAGATCCATCAGTTTGTGTTACAGTTGAATGAATACACAGTGATCCAGACTGGCCATTTGCATAGCCTCTTATGAACCATACTAAATGGCTCTGTCCATTTCCAGATGTTTTCAAGATAGATGAGTACAGATTCTGTCAATTTGCAAAAATTGAATTGAACACAAAATTTGAAACTGTATATTATATCAAATAAAAGGTGAAATTTCTAAATTAGCACATAGAGGTTTTCACTTAACCCATCATTGGTCTCAAGTAGTTGAGTCCACCTTTTTTTATTCCAATCATTTAAAAAAAACAGTGTTGGGAAATAATCTCCATGGATCTCTCAGGGTTTTTTTTGTCGTCACACCCACACTCCCATACACACAAATTTGTAACAAAGATATTTGATCCTTTATTTTAGATGATCTTTTCAAAAATATTCATGTACTGAAGAGTTTTAAAGCAGAAAAATAATGTGTCCTCCTAAGAAGAAGAGAAGTTTGGAAAAAGTGATTTTATTGCTACTGAAATAGAATACACAGAGTTTTTGGAGTAGAGAGTGAACACGAAGCTCAGAACTTGGGAAAAAACACCTCGATGCCAGGAATAATGGGGACAAAGGAACATTAATGATATCTATGATTCAGATTTACTAATTACTTGAGGATCTTCCTCATGAAGAAAAATGCCCTATTGCATCTTTTCCAAACTTTCAATTGCTTTAAATTTAATTGACTTTTGGGTTAGCCATCAATTGCCAAATGACTCTGGTTTAACTGCTATTTCTTTAAGCCTCTCTCCTAATGTATAAATTACATTAGGGGATGGGCCTCCTTGGTGGTGCAAGGGGTTAAGCATCAGCAGCACTATGAAGCTAACCACAGCTACTGCATCATGAGTTTGATCCCCAGCGAGGAGGTGACCCACATGGCTCAGCAGACCTCTCCTGTCTCACCCACTGCTTCCCTCAGCAGTGTGCTTCCGTGGCTCCACCTGTTCTGATCCCCACTGTCTCTGGTGAATCCTCTTACCCTCCCTCATCTCTAGCCTACACCCCAGCTCTTGTATGCATAAAGAAATAAATTTAAAAACAAAAAAGAATTAGCAGGGGAAGGTCCCAGAACACGTACCTCACATGCAAACATCTCAAAGCATCTATAGATTCCTTCCAAGCCCCCATTGCTTTTCCTCACATTTCTAGAAGATGGACAAGTGTTACTTTAAAAAATACAGAGTGTTATCTCTAAAAAGCAAAGGATGCATTTGGTTACAACTTCAGAAGCTAGAGATAGTATCTTGCTCCTGGGAAAAGGTCAATATTATAGACAGAATTATATGATGTTGTCCATTCTCTTTTATAGTCCCCTGGTGTTAGAGTGTAGGTAGAAACTATATATGAAAGGCTATCACTTACATGATTATGCTACATTTTAGATCAAAAGGGAGTTTATCCTAGGTAGGTCTGATCTAATCAGGTAAGCCCTTCTGGGAACCAAATAAGGGATTAGGGGAAAAATAATGATAAATAAAAAAAATTAACAGGCAACTATAAATCAGAGACATTATGCAAGGGAGGGAGAGGGATCAAAACAGGGGAGGGAAGAGCACAAGGGACTATGGTGATGGTCACGGGTGACTTGGTGGTGGGAATTTTATGGGGATTACACCTGAGAGGGAAAAGCATACATTGCACAAAAAGGAACTATGAGTTAAAATATATATGAATAAATAAATTTAAAAATAAATAAATAAAAGCAGAGATCACAGGAAAGACAGAGAAACACAAACCAGCTAACCTGGAAGAAACAAAATGTCCTTTTTGTGAACAACCTATGTGAATCACATAATGAGAAACTTTTAGGCTATGGATGATGTCTAAATTTTGAGAGCCATCGTCACCAATCACTAACAGGAACAGGCACTTCTATCCTACAATTGGAAGGAAATGAATTTTTCCCACAACCAGTAATTTTTTTTTTCCCAAATCAATGACGACTTTTATTATTGCATCTTAAAGATGTATCACAAATAGGTCTAAGAAATCATCCATTATCTTGCTGCTCTGTAGCTGGACAACTTAAATCTTACTCATCAGCTTGCTGAACTTCCTTTTTCAGAAACATAGATACTATCCAAAAATTTCCTGATATCCTTGTTTTTAACTGTCGTGGCTTGCTGAATCAAAGCAGCTGAATTTGATACGAGTTCAATGTCGTTTCCTTCAAGAATCAACTCCTCTTTCTGGGCTTGAGATACTGAATAAGCAACACCTTGTCTCATCCGAACCCTGCAAATGTATTTTTCACCCAAGAAATTTCGGATTTCAACAAGAGACCCATTCTCCTGAATAACAACGTTGATAGGGAAGTGAGCATACACAGACCTCATCTTGTAACAGAAGCCCAGTGTAACACCCTTGATCATGTTCTGTACATGACTACAGATAGTGCGAACAGTAACCAGTTCCTTTCTATTTCCCCACCATTTGTCAACCCGGAGCCTCTTCTTTTTCTTCCCAAGCAAACTGAGTTCCACATTGATGTGATTGAAGTCCCTCCGCAGGGTGCCTCTGGGGCCCTTCACAATAACAGTGTGACCCTTCAGGGATATGTCAACATTTTCTGGAATGTCTACAGTCTGATTGCTGAGAATGGTCTTCATTCTCGCGGTAGATGCAGCAAAGAGACAACCAGTAATTTTCATTTGGGCTCCGAAGCCCAGATGATAGCTTGCGTTCTACCTGTGAAACCCAGAGCAAAAAATCCCCCTATACAGTGCCTGAACTTATGACGCATAGAAAATGTGATAACAATTTGTACAATTTTAAGCTGCTAATGGATGGTAACTTGTTACACAGAAATAGAAAGCAAATATAGACAGGCATGTGGCTGCACATTATAAAATATTTGGGATCCCTTAGATCAAGTGAATAGATACAATTTCACACTCCTTGCATTGTTTTATGAGCATTGAGGCTCACAGAGCAGGAACAAAAAACGCAGATACTCTGGCTACTTCTATTACTGTGTGCAATAATATGTCCTTCAATTATGACCCAAAATTTTGCATCCTTTTCCAGCATCTATGTCATGGTAGGCTAGTGTTAATTTTTGAATAAAGTACAGTTTCAGTTCTTCACATTTCTTCTCATATAACTTTCCAAATTTCAAAGTATACAACCCAGATCATTATGTAAAGAAAGTCTTAACTCTATAGCTATGAAAAATCACTAAATCCTGTTCTATCTTTTGTAATTATATACCTGTATTCATTTCATTGTTTAGTAAAATTCATTCTGCTATTGTAGCCATTTAAGAAAAAAATCCATGCTGTATGTCCAGTGGACAGGAAACATAAATTAGGGGTCTTTAACTAAAAGTAAACTCTATTGCATCTCTTTCTCCATTATGTTATTGCTCCCAATTGAATTCTTATTTTTAGTCCTCATTCTGAAATCCTCAAAGATTTCGAAGACAAATGAGAGTGAATAGCAAACACTGAAACAACTCACAAAGGGCTGCAAGAATGAACTCACTATTGAAAAGATGGCCAAAGAGTATTTTAATTTCATAAATAAGCCAAGTTATCTGAGGGCACTGAGCCCCAAGTATCATACATGATATATGGCAAGGTGTGATACTGAGTTTTTTTCACATTGACTTCATTTAAATGCCATATTTTTCAATGTTAGGATTAATTTTCTTTTCTCTAAGTTGTCTGAAGGTGCTTTTACTTATTTGAAGTTTCCTACTAGATAACTATATAAGGTGTACTTTTAAGAGCCAACTTTTATTGAAATCATTTATTTCCAGTGGCGATTGGTCTCCTAGGGTTTTGGCTTCCTCTGAAACAATTAAAAAAAAAATAGTTTCTTAGATAATATGGAGGACTAAAGATTAGCCATTTAACACATGTGGCTTTCAGTGTGATAGGTCAAAGGAACTTCTGAAATGAAAGAATATTGGATTGTCAGCCCAGATAAGTGAGATTATTAATGCAAAAATGAAAATTAACTTCAGTAAAGTAGATGTAATATTTGATGTTAAAAATATGAAAGTCAAAATGAAATATTTTACTAAAAATTGGGTTATTGAGTGCAATTAGTTTCCTAATTCATAATCAGATAAAGACATTTCTAATAAAGTACAATGTTAATTTTAAGTAACCTCAATTTTTATATCTTTATTTTTTAGTAAAGACCAAGTCTTAAAAGTTTTTACTTATTATTCATTTGGAGGCCAATTAAAATGCAAATTTTAATTTCTGGTAACATTAACTAGATCACTATGTGTCTGCCACTGCTCTATGTGCTTTATCAATAAGCTGTTGTTAACAAAGCATCTGAATCTTTGTGCCTTTAAACAAACATTAAAGTTAATTAACAATTTAAGGTAAGTTCAACTGGATGATTCTTTAGTTTTAGCTATTTTGGGTAGGTTTGTTTACGTGTAAATAGTCACCCAGTGGGTCACCTAGGAACTGGCATGTTTAGGGCAACCTGGTTAACATTTGTTGGCATTTGCTGGATTTCAGTGGGGGGATGGGTATAACTGGGCAACTTGTTTCTCAGTTTGGCCTGGACTTGCGTTCACCATAGTTGGGCAAGTGTGAAGAGAAAGAAATAAGCTAGGTTTCTTTAAGTAAAAAATAAAAACTAGCACCTGTTACTTTACAACAGGATATTGGCCAAAGCAAGGAGATGGGACAAGACAGCACTGTCTACTCAGAGTTTCAAAATCACAGACTACCCACCCATTTTTGCAATTAAATTTTCATATGTGCATCATTTTACTTGACTGCCCAAGTAAATTTTAAGGTTTAATGTAATTATTGCCTTTTTACAACTATGAAAACACAGACTTGAAAGGATCACTTGCATAAGGTCACAGTGCCAGGAGAGTGTAGACTGAAGTCTAGCACAGACCTGTCTGAATCCGGAGGGACTCAGCTATCCGCTACTATTTCTGTGCACTCCAAAAGAAGTTTACATATGTTTTGAATGAATATTTGAATCTGTGAGTGCCTATTCAGAGAGAAAGATGAATAGGCAAAACTGAAAAGATTTCCCTTTTTTCCCATTACACCCACTTCAGTATTAATTTCTTATCTTTTAGGTTATCTAACCCTTTGGCTATTTTTCATATATTTTCCAAGTTTCTAAGATATTCACAATGTTTCTAAGTTCATATCTTTCAAATGTCTCACAATTTCACCTTTTTCCTTTCTTAATTTTGAAAGTCTTACATATAACTATTTTATTCTTGAGTTTTCTTTTTCATGCTTATTGTCTAAATAAGCAGTTTTCCTTAAGCAGTTCTTTCCTGGGCATTTCTTAATGTTAACTTTTCTCATGATCCATAGTGGAAATCATTCTTATAAGAGCCAGATGACCCAACAGTTTTACTAATTTTTGATACAATATGTCCTATAAATCTCACCATTATTTATGAATATAATTAAAATCACATATAAGTGGAACAAAATTTACAACTCAGAACTGGAGCCTCTGTCTCCTGTAAAAGTCCATGGCACTGCAGCAAGAAGGGGAAGGATACAGTTCTAAAGCAGATGAAAGGATATAAGTAGTCACCATATCCATTTCATTATAAGAAAGGTATATACTGCAACATATTCCAGGAAAAATATAAACACAAGGATGTAATCAGATAGTTAATATGGAAAATCAGACAGTTTAAAATAAAACTGAAATGAAAATATAACAAATGTGAAATAAGCACTACAGATCTTACGTTCCATAAAAAGTTGGGGGTTTCACAACTCCTCAGTTGGAATCATCAAAACCTTATCAGGAGAAGAGGGATCTCTGCCTTTGTGTCAGGCACCACTGAGACTGCTTGGAACTGGGTAAGGGCTGTCCCCACAGCCAGAGGTGAGCTGAAAAGCCCCCACATGCCAGGCCCCATCTGGCCACCAATCAGAGCCCAGAGCGAGATCCAGCCACCGCAGGGGCAGACTGCGGGCAAAGGGAAGCACCCTCCTGACTCACCACTTTAAAAGAGGGATCTTTGCCTCCAGAACCCACCAAGACTGTGTGGAATTAGGAAAGGGCTGCCCCCAAAGCCAGAGATGAGCTGAAGGCCCCCACAAGCCAGGACCCGCCTGGCAGGGAGTTGGAAGCCAGGGGGGGAGCCAGCAATGTGGAGCCTAGCTGTCATCACCCAAGGCAGTGATAGTGAAGGCAAAGATAAACAGCTGGGACTACATCAAATTAATGAGCCTCTGCACAGCAAAAGAGATAGTAACCAAAACAAAGAGACACCCCACCGACTGGGAGAAAATTTTTGCACATAACACTAATGATAAAGTACCTCCTTTTGATAAAGGACTGATCACAAAAATCTACAAAGAGCTGATGAGACTCAACAAAAACAAAGTAAATAATCCAGTCAAAAAATGGGCAGAAGAGCTAAAAAGGAACTTCTCCAAAGAGGAAATGCGAAAAGCCAACGGGCATATGAAAACATGTCCAGCATCACTTGTAATCAGGGAAATGCAAATCAAAACTACAATGAGATACCATCTCACACCAATGAGAATGGCACATATTAAAAAAACTAGCAACAACAAATGTTGGTGAGGATGTGGAGAAAAAAGGAACTCCCCTGCACTGCTGGTGGGAGTGCAAACTGGTCCAACCACTATGGAAAGCTGTGTGGAGACTCCTCAACCTGCTAAAGATCGAGCTTCCATATGATCCAGCAATTCCACTCCTAGGTATTTACCCAAAGGACACAGAATCAAAAGGGCACCTGCACCCCTATGTTTATAGCAGCACTATTTATAATAGCTAAGCTACAGAAACAACCCAACTGCCCAAAAACAGATGAATAGATCAAGAAGATGTGGTACATATACACAATGGAATATTACTCAGCAATCAAAAAAAAGAGAAACGCATGCAATTTGCAGCAACATGGATGGAGCTAGAAGGGATCATGTTCAGCAAAATAAACTAGAAAGAAAAGGAAAAATACCATATGGTCTCACTCATAGCAGGAATTTAGAAAACCTAAATAAGGGACCAGGGAAAAGACTAATTACAATAAAGTAAAAATCAAAATCAAATCAACAAGCAACTATAAACCAGAGATACACTACAGGGGGGATGGTGTAAGGAGGGATTAGGGTCAAAATAAGGGAGGGTGGGAATTGTATGGGGAATATAACCAAAATGAAAATGCATACATTGTGCAAAAATAAAAAATGATGTAAAAAATATATAAAATAAAAAAACCTTACTTAATTTTTCAATGATTCAATAATGTAGGTCACTGCTAAACTCCCTTTTTTATATAAACATAGTCCTTGATTGAGAGCAAACTGTCAAACTATGCTTGAAAAAATGATTTTTTTTTCAAGCTGGTATGTTTATTCATCTTTGAATAGACATATTTAGCATGCCAACCCTCAGGTCTTTTCTTTATTAAAGGTGTTGTGTAAGTGATGGTACATCAAGTCACAAAAGCACATGCAAGCTGGTTGGATATGGAGGGAACACTTGTTCTTGTGATCTCTCCTCCTCCATTAGAAAGTGATGAATTGAGATCCTTTATATTGAGAATTTGAATGAAATGACAAAATACTTATAATTGATGGCTGGAAATGCTAGATCAGGACATACAGTACCCTGGTGTATAAAC